TTCGGTTCAGTTCGGTTCAGTTCAAATGGCACAATTTTTTATACATAAAATATCACACAAATATGCCAAATACTATATATAGACGGCTGGGTGGAGGTTAGGTTAGGCTGAGCGGCAATCCTATGTGGACTCACTTAGGCTTAGGGTCCTTTGTGGCGCCGCATGAGATTTGCATTTATCCCTATGCCCCTTTGAACCACTTGGCGCTTAGCAAAAAAATGCATAGGCTACTATCATTGAAGATCATTGAAGAAGCTTTCATAGAGCTGGCAATGGCAAGATGTTGGCTAGTTGCAGCCAATTTAAGATTTTTTTTCATTTAAAAAAAATTGTAAATTCAATTACGCGCTATTTAAATATAACTGGGGCTAGTTAAAAAATACAACGAAAATATTAAAATTTAAGGAACATATGAATATTGTCTTGAATACAAAAATTTACCAAAACATTTTCTAACTTCTCAATGTTCGCAATTGACTAATCCCCCTAATCGTATGGCTTATCAAAAGTCCCTTTGGCGTACCGCATACTTCATAAATCAATCCAACTTACCTAAGGCACAATAACACCAAAAAATAATAAAACTTAAGCCGGTGCAAGGGTACTATTTCACTATTAAAACATCTATGTATGAACATTAGGGTGGTCCAAAAACCGTAAAGCCGGAATTGTAATGCTCTCACCCCCTAGGATTGTTATATATCGAAAAAAATTATACCCCTATTTTTTATTTTGAAATCAGAAAATATTTCAATTAACAATAAAACAACTTTTCGTAGAAATGGTATATAATTCTTGAAAATCAATATTTTTTGATCGATTATTTATTGTGGGTTTTTGGCGGGCCTTTAAATTATAGTTGCGATGACAAAATGGTTAAATAAACAATTGTGTATTATTACGGGGAATCTTCTGAGGATAAACATAGTTTTCTGATAGAAAAATATTGATTTTTAAGAATTCTATACCATTTCCCGATGTAAAATACGTGGAAAACTTTCGGCGCTTTGTGCGACCTCGAAAAATTTTTTGATTTCAAAATAAAAAAAATATGGGTACATTTTTTCGGTATAGTACAATCCTAGGCGATGAGAGCTAAAAATTTCGACTTTACTTTTTCACATGCATTTTTGGACCACCCTAATGAACATACTGTGACTCAAACAATGACTACGTGTTGATTTTTTTTAAATATTCGTAAGAAGTTGAAATTATAATGAAAATTGTTTGAATTTTCCTAAATTTTGTATAGAGTTTGAAACTGTGATTTTAATGAATAAGGCTTGGACAGCATTTTTATAGAAAAACGCCAAAAGCTGGAACCTGCATATGTATGTATAATATAAATAGGTATTATAATAAGTATTACATGAACTCAGGCTGAAGTCCTCTCATTTATAGGTACTTACATGCATACGAACATTCGCTTGAGTCCTTATTTGCTCTCGAACTGTTCGCTTCGACTTGCCACTGGTGCGTACGTGCTTTGCCCTATACAATAGAGTCTGCAGTGCAGTTGGGTAAAAGGCAAACCTGCAGGCAGCTAACTCGCCGAACACGTCTAAGTTTGTTTTTTTTTCTTGCAATTCATTTTTGTTGCTTTTGCATAATAATGAACTTTTCTGGACGTCTGTGGTCGTCAGTCTACATGTCCAATATTGTTATTTACTTGCATATTTACTGTATACTTGTTTTTATTTCTTTAAATCACTTTGTGTGAAATTGCCTGAAGCGTTGGAATGCTTCGTGAATTTCAACCAATAGTGAAAACCTTATATATAAGATTTGCTCAACATGCTCTACATGCTTATAAAATTATTCAGTACTTGTGAATTGCATGGTATAAATAACTTTAATAAATACTGTGTAAGAATTCAAAAAAAAATACGCAACCGTTTATAGTAGCCCGTAAATAAAAGAAAAAACAAACGAGCAGACAAAGCTCAAATATTGCAAAAATTCACAACATTGCTTTACCACTTTTTAGATGTTAGCAAATTGTTGATACCGACGCTGATTTTTTTTTTTTTTTTTTTTTTTTTTACGCTTACATGTAATACGTCAAAACACTCGAAGCTACATTTCAAATGGTTAAACGCGTCGTATGTGTGTATGTGGTTGTATGCGTAACTAATTTGCATCATCGTTGTGTTTGGTAGAGCGTAAATTTGGAATTCAATTGATTTTTGCTATTAGTAAAATTGAAATCAATTGAATTGGAATTCGCTAAAAATACGTTGTTGAGAGTATGCAAAGTGAGTAAGAAAATAGTTAGATTTTTATGTATGTACGTAGAAGATAGAAAACTGAAATTTGCAACCCTGCGAGAAAAGCTAATAATACTGAAAAAAACTGGAGAGCAGTCAATTTGATTTTTTTTTTCAAATTGTCTCGCTTCTAAACTGTCAAATATTGTTAATTTTTTCAACAAAAATTCATAATTGGCAAAATGTATTTGCATGTAAATAAAAACGTTTGATCAACTCAGGAGCATAAACGCCAATAAAACGACAAAAAACTCAGAGACACATAAACTTAATTTTGCGTGCTAGGTCATTTTCCCAAGATATTTTCATTTTTAAGAAAAAAAATTAAATTTTAACAGGGAAAAAATTAAAAAAATTAAATTTTTTTTTTATTTTTATCATTCGTATTGAAGCCTGTTCTTTTGCCAAAAAAATAAGCTACCAACGATGATGGTTAAATAAACAACGTTTGAATGGTCAAAAGAAAATGTGCAATGAAATTTTGTATGAAATAGAAGCAGGAAATTATGTCACGCATACGCCACATCGTACTTGGTCGTACTCGTGCATAATCGAACATGGCGTATGAGTAAAACATTTTCCATATTGAAATTTGATTTTTTTTATTCGCAACGCAAACTTAAAATTAAAATATCTTGGGAAAATTACCTCATCTAAAAAAACGGTATACGGATCCGTAATCTACGACTCAAAATAAAGTCTACGTGTCTCTGCGTTTTTTGGTCATTTTAGCGTTCCTACAGTGTTTTTGAGTCCTGCTCCTGGAATGAAACGAATTTACAAAGAGAGAAAGTCGCAACAATTTTTTATTTTTAACCGACTTCAAAAAAAAAATGGCGGTTATCAATTCGTGGGAAAATTTTTTTATGTATGTTAGCGCATAACTTTTTTTTTTAACGGAAGCTCTCATACTAATTTACTTTAGATACGATCATTGGATCATGAAGAAGTTAACAGTACCCTTAATTTTTTTGTTTTGTATGAGAATTGAAGTCGGTTTTGTTTTTTGCTTAAAAATTATTTGTTTATTTAATATATTGTATCTAATTTTTTGTTTATATATTTCGCATCGTCCACTTAGATGTTTAAAAAATTAGATTATTTTTTTTCACATTTAAGGTATGTTGGACGATTTTTTATATGGAGAAATTACAAAAAATCAACAACAAGTCCCACCTACTTAAAACTTGTACTCTGTAGCACTAAAATTGAATGGGCACCAGAACTGCATACTCAAAATATTTCTAAGAAATCGAGTGAAAAAGCTCGAGATTTTTACGAAAGTGTGTTGATTTAATGTTGCATAATAGTTTAAACTTGGATTTTTACGTTTTTTTTTAATTAAACTATATTTTTATAAAAAAAAATGTTATTAAAAAAAATAAATAAATGGTCAAATCTAGTCAGTATGTGAGTGCCATAAAGGTATGATAAGCACTATAGTTACACATACATAGACATATGCTTATAATAATCAATGCATTCCAATTACGAATTTGATTATGGAAAAGTAGAAACTGCTCCTTAAACAGAGCACTGTGTCGTAAATAAAACAAACCTTCACACTTATGTACATACTACATATGTACATATGTCGCATTGTTTGCAGAGACATACCGGCCCACACAAACTGTGGCACTTGAAATCTTGCGTGTCACAGCATAATTTCTCATTAACATGCGATTTTCTTATGCCAAACAAACATACGAAACTTTCAGATTATTCAAACTCGCACAGCGTTTGTCGATCAACTGTTGGTCGTATTGACAGGTGTGTTAGCGCACACATGCATTCATATACACAACTCCATACGAAAGGCAGTGCTAGAACAGCGAAAATTCTTAAATGTTGTGGGACTGGTGAGCGAGCGATGGTGTACTAAATATATAGATGGCAAGAAATCGAAAAAGAATTTTAGTAACTGCATAAATTTTATGTTAATTACGTCGGTGAAATATGTGTGCGTATGTGTAGGTGCAAATTCATACATATACACACATATACTATACAGTGGCGGTTAAAAATGAGTGAATGGTGTTTTTCAAGCTATAATTTTTTGATATTTTTTTTATAAAAATATGGTTCATGCTTTAACAAAAACTATATAAATCACACTTTCAAATTTTATACAGAACTTAGAAAAATTCAAAAAAAAAT